TTTTTTAAAATATTAGTTTTAAAAGAAATAATTTTATCGTAACGAACCGAAACATTCTCACCGTTTAAACGTCGTTCTTTTACTTCCGCAAATAGTTTTCTTCTGATTGCAACTGTTTCGCGAGAAAAATCCTCGTTTACATAAATGTTTGTTCCTCTGAGACGAGCTGATTCTTTCAAAATTTTAGCTTTGTCTTTGTATTGTTGAAGTTTTAAAACTATCACCCTCGAACGTCCATCTTTTTTTGGCCCAGTGCGATGTGCTCGTTCAATTTCAATACTCTTTATACCCAGTTTTTGTAGAAAAAATGAATGAACTTTTTCTTCGGTTTTGTCCCAAGATTCTACTTCGTCTTCACATATTCCCTCAAATCTTAAGTTATTTCTCCGCGATCTATCTTCGAGGTTACGGATTTTTTCGTTTAAAAATTCATTATTAGTTCTTTCTTTCTCTAATTGTTTGTTGATATCGATTTTGTTTAAAAAATGTTTGTTGTTACTTTCAATCTTTTTATCAATTACGTGTTTGTTGAAGTTTAAACTTTCTTTTATTACTTCAAGCTCTATTTCAATTTTTTTAATCTTGTTTGCATTTTGAGTGATATTTTTCTCAAATTTATCCAATCGTTCGTTTAATATTTTTGTATTTGCACTAATAATATCAATTACTGTTTTTTCTTGGTTTTTTAATAAAACTAAAGTTTCCTTTTTAAAATCATTAAGCATTTCTTTCATCATTTTTTTTATTTCTTTAAGTGATACAGCCATACCTGATGTTGATAGGATCTTTTTAGTTAGTAGATTCGTAGGTTTTTTAGTTGTTTCTTTATTATACTTCAATTCCGTAGACTTTATTTATTTATTATTATTATTATTATTATTATTATAGTTGTAGCCGTAAATTTACATAGAATGTACACATACAGCGAGCAGGGGAAACACCCCACTATAAACAACCAGTTTTATAAATATTTGTTCCAAACTTTTTCCACAACCAGGAGTCTAGTCTATTTTTGAAAGAAAGTACAGTGGAGTACAAAGTTATTTGCTCTGGTAGTTCGTTCCAGTATTTTGCTGATCTATTATACAAATGATTATATCTTGGAAGACAGTTTAGAACATACTCACGCCTTATTTATAATGGTGACCACGAGACACGGAGTTAATATATTTTGGTAGATATTTATCATTAACTATATCAAAACGATGTATTAATTTAAAAATTTGGATTAAATCGCATCGAAGGCGTCGAAACTCAAGTGATGGTAGGTTTAATCTTTTTAGCCTTTCGCAGTATTGAAGATGCCTCAAGCTGTAAGCCCATTTTGTAGCTTTGCGTTGAACAGATTCAACCAAAGCCATATCAGCTTTTAAAAAAGGAGCCCAAATGGACACTCCATATTCAAGATGTGGTCTTATAAATACTTTATATAATTTGAGAGCCATTTTTTCATCAATGAAAGTGAATGTCTTTTTCAGCATACCGAGAATTTGTAAGGACTTAGAGACAACTGTTTGAATATGAGCGCTCCACTTGAGGTTAGATGTAAAAATGACTCCTAAATCACGTTCTTTAGTAGAGCTTCTTAGAGATTGGTTGATTCCTTGGTTATTTTGAAGAAAGTAATTGTAATGGGGGTTGTTTCGACCGTAATGAATGACGCAGCATTTTGAAGTGATTAGCTTAAGTAACCAAGTGTTTGACCACTCGTATACCAAGCGTAGACGATCCTGCAGATCAACAAAATTAGATTGCGATAAGGTTTTAGAAAAAAGTTTAGTATCATCGGCAAATATCTCAGAAGTTTCAGTGAGTTTTGCGAGATCATTTGTGTAGAGAATGAAGAGGAGCGGGCCGAGAACAGAACCTTGAGGAACACCACTGAGAACATCAACCCATGCAGAGCTGGTATTGTTAATTGTAACGCGTTGCTTTCTGCCCACTAAAAAAGATTTAATCCATTGTAGGAGTTTGCCGTTTATTCCGAAAGATCTTAATTTTAACAAAAGTCTGTTGTGAGGTACAGAGTCAAACGCTTTGGCAAAGTCAAGATAGATTACATCAATATTTATTTTAATATATGTTTATTTTAATATATGTTTTATGTTGGTTTCCTCTGAAAAATCTATGTTTTTTGCTATGCCTTATTTTATTTGTTTTATCTTTATTTCCCATTATTTTAATAACTATTTAACCAAGGTATGATCCAAGGTAAGAACACAAAGAATAAGCCAAAGATTGATGTGGTTGTTAAGTAATTAGATGTAGTTTTTTATGAATTTTTATGGTATTTTGAAAGATAACTTGCTTTTTAGCTACATAGCAACGGAATAAACAATCCGTTGCTATGGAAAAATTTTAAAAATATCCTAAACTGCTTTATTAAAAATTGGTTTTTAATAGGGTTAGCTTAAAACTAATTCGAAATTCCTAATCTACAATAATTACATTACTTCAAAACTTTAAAACTGAAAAAACGATTTTTTTGATTTTTAATAAAGGTCTACCACCTTAAGTTGTAAGCTTTTAAAGCATAAGCTTTAAAAGTTTACAACTTAAACCTCATTAATAAAGTGCTAACATGTGATAGCTAAAAATTCGGACAAAATTAGAAGTTGTATAACTTTTTAACGAAATGATTAACTTTAATAATTAAAAAAGTATAATAACCAAAAATGTCTAATTAATAAAATATAAAAAATTTTTAAGTTATTCAGGCTCGGACGATAAACAGTCTCTACTCTTGTAAATGTTTACATTAGGAGTCTTTATAAACCTGTCCAAAGTTTTTGACACTGTTGATCACGACATCTTGTTAAATAAACTAGTAACTTATGGTATAATAGATAAAACACTATACTGGTTCAAAAGTTATTTAACTAATCACAACCAATCATTGTAAACAATATGTTTACAATGAAAACTCTGATTCTCAGATTTTAATGAATACTACATGTGGTCCGCAATGAATACTACATGTGGTGTTCCGCAATGAATACTACATGTGGTGTTCCGCAATGAATACTACATGTGGTGTTCCGCAATGAATACTACATGTGGTGTTCCGCAATGAATACTACATGTGGTCCGCAAGAATCCAAACTTGGATCACTTCTCTTTTTAATATATATTAATGATCTTAATAAAACCTCAAACTTAACATCAATAATTTTTGCTGATGACACAAACTTGTTTTTATCTTATGAAAATGACAGATTATGACAGATCGTGATACGTTCTATATGATCTTTTAGAAGTCCCTCTATTAATCTTGTATACATATTTTATTGTAAAGAATTATTATGGTAATAAAAAAAAAAAAAAAAAACCAAGCATAGAACGAGGGCTGGTGTAGTATAAGTTTTTTACACCCACGTATTTTTTACTCCCCAGTAAAAAGCTCATTAAATTTTTACTACCCAGTAAAAATCACATAAAATTTGTACTCTCCAGTAAAATTCTCATATGAAATTTTTACTCCTATTTCGTGCCATTCATAAAGGACGTCACCATTTTTTAGCCAATTTTTGACCATCTACCCCCTTCATTTGTCACCGGTTGCCTTTTTTCCCTATACCCCTCTGGAAAAGGACGTCATAAAATCCTGACCCCCCTCCCTATTTTTAACTCCAAAAAAATTTATTTCATCTTGCAATGATGTTTGAATCTGCTGCTAAACCTTTAAAAAATAAAATTAAAAATATTCTCATACATTATCTTCTCAAAAACACAAGTTATATTAATAAAACTAAAATAAAAAACCTATAAAGTGACGTCCTTTTCTGACAACCTCCCCCTCCCCTTGCCCTTTTTAGCTTGCCCCCCCCCCCCCTTTATTTGGATGACTTTTTTTATGGATGGTCCCTTAAGAGATTTATACTCCAATAAAATATTTTGCGGCAAAATGTATTTTTGCAACCAAACGACGTCGTATTTTATGAATATTTTAAAACGTTTTAATGACTGCGGTTTAAAAAATTTTTGTAATCTAGTAATGCAGTGGCATATATATTGTTAAAACTACTAAATTAGGATAATGTTAAAACTGAACTAATTATCAAAGACGTCGAATCAAGCGCAAATACAATAGTAATCAACATAAAAGAAGTGTAAATAAAAGAATAGCAAAATATGCAACTTTTGATATGATAAAATTAGTTGCAGAAAAATTTAGAATTGTTAGGAAACACAATGTCGCCATAGGAAGTTAATTTGCCGACTAAATGACCCCTCCCTTTCCATCGTGCCGGCCTTGTATAAAACCAATAATATCTCGTTTGTGTAAGTATTCATGCCATTTCAGTATATATATATATATATATATATATATATATATATATATATATATATATATATATATATATATATATATATATATATATATATATATATATATATATATATATATATATATTATATGTATATATATATATATAGATAAATTAGTAGAAAATCACTTAGCAAAATTTTTGTTTGAGAAAAAATTTTGCTAAGTGATTTTCTACTAATCTGTAATTGCTCTATTCTTTTAAGAACATTGAGCACTCTTTTTGTAGAATACATTTTAAATTGTTTATATATATATATATATATATATATATATATATATATATATATATATATATATATATATATATATATATATATATATATATATATATATATATATATATATATATATATATATATATATTTATGTAACCCTCAGAATTAGAGTCGGCATTCGGCAATGCTGACCTAACTACTTACCTGAAAGTGTTTGATGTCGGCAAAAAAATTGCCGATCTTGTTTCTATGTTTGGTGGTCAGACCTTAGAATCAAATAATTTTTGCCGACCTGATGCCGACCTCAAAAAGATTGAGGTGGGCAATAATTTGCCGACCTAATTTTTCCTAATTCCGAGGCTTGTATATACATATTTATATATACACACACACATACACAAACACATATATGTGTGTGAGTGTGTGTGTGTACACTCACATATAGAGAGAAATCGAAAGAGACAAATACATTTCTTTGTTTGTATAATTTACATTTTTATCATGTTATGAAAATATTTTGCATAAATCCAAGAAAGTAACTGTTATAAAAGCATAAATTAGAATAATTGGCTAATTCTTGTACAACAATATATGCTGCCATTTTACTTTTCTGGTTTATGCATTCAAACTTACCAGTGGTACCAAGTCAAACAATCTTCACACTCAATCATGTCTTCAAATTGTGGTTTGTTACAACTCAAACAACTCCAACTTTGTTTAAGATGTAGCACTATAAAAACAAATCATAGCAATGGTTTAATTATGTAAATGTAAAGAATTATTAATTAATTACGTAAATAGTAAATGGTTTAATTATTTGCTAACTTTATTAAAGGAAATTTTTTTTTAAGTAATTAAACAATAAATTCGAATGGTTACCATTTTTCTGAAGTTTTAAAAATGTGTCTGGATTAACTAAGTCTTTTACGACATTGATGTCATGTTTGATAACTTCAGCATGAAGAAGTTTTCAATCAGTCTGCAGGTCTTTGTCTGTTAAAATATGAGTTACAATTGGGTTGGAATAGCCAAAATATGCTAAAACTTTTCTTTGCTCTAAATTATTAAAACGCTAAATAAGCAACACAAACTAGCAAACAAGCAATAAACCAAACACACACACACACGCACACACACACACACACACACACATATATATATATATACATATATCTTTATATATATATATATGTTTATATATATATATATATATATATATATATATATATATATATATATATAAATATATATATGTATATATATATATAAATTAGAGTGGGTCATAAAATATATATATATATATATATATAAATTAGAGTGGGTCATAAAATAGTAAAACTGCACCTTTTTCACTTTTAGTTAAAATACTATAAATATTATGCAATAAAATATAAAATAATAATTTTTATATGAAAAAATTTCACTTTATTTGAGTACCTACATCACATAATTTTGAAAAAACTTTTTTTCTGAATAATAATAGGGCCTGCTAATTTTTGTAATTATAGTTGCGGGTGGAAGACATTGTTCAATCCATAAAAGTAAATACTTTCCTAAATTAGTACATAAAAAAACAACTTTCTAGACCATAGCCAGGTTAGCAAATCTAAAAAAAAATTTTATGACCCACCCTAATATATATAAAAATATTAAACAAAACCATTATAAAAGTCAACATATATATGATAAATTAAGTTACCTGGCAATAATTACTTGGATTCTGCAACGTTTTTTGACGCCTTCTCTATTGTTAATTCATTACATTTATTTTCTGGAATAATTTTTGTCTGCGCTACAACTATATTAATTAAGCATTATCACAAAATATGTTGCATATATTAAATAAAATATTTAAATAACAAACAAAAAGTAAGGCACCTTTGTTTTTTGAGTCCCACTTTGAAAAATCAAACATCTCTTTAATTTCATCGTTAGAAGGTAATCTGATAAAGGAAACTTTTTTTCTTTTTTTTATTGAATAAAACTGCGGTTGTTTTGTTTACTTTTTGTTTGATCGTATATTTTCTTTTAAGAAAAATTGTTCAACTCTGTTTTCACTTAAACTGTGAAAAGTACTTGTAGCTTGTGAAATGTTTTTATTCAAATTTTTTAAAGCTTTTTCTTCCGAAATTGTACTTGAAGACACTAACTTGACAAGAGCCATTAAATTTTTTATAATATTTCTTTTCAAAGTCTGAACATCACCAGAAACATTACATATTGTTTTGCTTTCCAAATCAACTGGAGGTAAACTAACAAGTGTATTTTTTTTTTTTTAATTTACTTTCACTTCCTAGACGATGAATTAAATGAATATGTTTGCATGGTATATTTTTTGTTAGAAAATCCATACAGCTACAGTGGTATAAATGGGAACAGACTTGGCATTTAGTGCACTTTGTAAGACAACCAATTATATTACATATATCATGATGTTTTATAACTTCATATTGGTCATTATTGTTTTCAGACTGTACAAACCATTTTCCTTTTTCCTCAACAACACAACTTAAAGATAAATGTAAACTAGCTACATGCCTAGAATATATCAGATTTAATTTGTAGCTATTTTTGCCTTTGGTTAATTTTATTAACCTTTCATACACTTTATCTCTATTGAATTTTAATAATTTAAACAAGCAGTTATCTATTCTTTTATTGTGTTTTCCATTAAGATAATTATACTTAAAGGTCTTATGAAATGATTCGAGATACATATTAGTTTTAATTTCATGCCCAATTCTGTAACATGATGCCCAAAAATGCTTCTTGCTTTCCCAATATTTTTGAAAATATTTAGCAAATGATTTAGTTAAAGTGAAAGATTGCAAGTAAAGCATGAATGAGTTTAAATAATCATCTAAAAGTTTACGATCGCTTAATTGTAAATAAATCTAAGTCTTTTGTAAACATCTACTTCCATTTCAGTATTTTTTATTTTTTTATGAATTTCATCTCTCCATGCTCCATCCACATGCCATGTACACCATAATTTAAGAGAAGCACATGTATAAACATTACAAAATGCATCATAAAATTAAAAGAATCACTAGTGGCTAAACACCAACCAGCAGGTAGACCCTCGCCTAATTCATCAACCACTAATAATGTTGTTAAAAGAAAGTCATAACCATTTGTACCGTGAGTAGAATCAATACAAACCCCTGCACGTCCAAATTGTTGGAACATATTTTTTTGGTGTTCAGTTTGTATGATTATAATAAAATCTGAGACTTCAAACTGATGGGATGTATCAGGTTATCCTTGTAATTTATAATGTAATATAGGATTGTTTTCCTTCATTTGCCACTCTTTTAACCAAGCAGCAACACTATCTTGGTCGTTTGGATGGCGCTGAACTGAATTGATGTTAAATGCCTTTTCACGGTTGACAAAATCTTTTTTCTGAATTATACATAATCTGGACGAGCAACCGACTAATTCATCTCTTATTTCATCTAAGATGTAATCTTTTGTTATGCCCATTTGCAGCTTTGCCGCGATTTCTCTCTTTTGACATTTTGTTAAAGAAAGATGTTGAATCTCGGTTTGATGGCCGTAATGAGAATAACAAGCATTAACCACAACTTGTGTATCGGAGCATGTCACTTTTAGTGTCGATGCGCAATTCTTGTCTATTTTTCGAGTTCCTAATACCAATTAAACAATACCATTCATAAGTAACTCGCCAAACAAACATAATTTTATGAATATATTTGAAAAATGATATTAGCAATCTTTCACTTTGACTTATGTCAAATTGATAGATTGACTTTGACTTTCATTAAACTAACTAGTAATTTTCATATTTTGAGAAAAGCCTTACAAGTGAAACTATTAGACATCACACAATAACAACTACACATACACATTAGATTGTCAAAAAAGGAATAAAAAAAATACCGCTACTTTGTATCCTTCTTTTGCCTGATGACAAACAATTATATAAACCACTTCGGTTACATTGGTAGTATGTAATTATCTTACCATCTTTACAGACCTTTCCGCCAGAGGTTACAATATATTGACTTAAACAACTAAGTTCAATATTAGACTTCCATTTTTCAAAATCTAATCAAATTTTTCATGTTGAATTATTTTTTTTACAATAATATATAAATATCAAGCGAAAAATATATGCAAGTCTAGCTGCATATGGAAATTATATATTTGCAAAATTTTGCTGATATAAATTTTGAAAGTAGTGAAACAAAAACAAATCAAAGTTTATGTTAAAATATGTGAACGTTTAAAAATTTCTTTTTTAAATATGATTGTTATTGTAATAGTTATAAAAAAGAAACTACTTACCTATTAAATTAGAAAATGAAAGTAATTCTTTTTGGAATGTAAAACAATGAGATAAAGATAAATGTTTTCTTAAATCAGTAATTCTCTGGCTTTGAAACCTACACTCTAAACAAAAACTATTTCCTGTCCTTATACTTGCTTGAGCATCTTCACTTGACTTGTGGATGTTTTTGATATGACGCTGCAAATTGCATTTTTTGGTAAAGAAAGATTTGCAAAAACAACACTCAAAAGAATTAATATTTTTTTCTTTATTACTCCCTGAACTTTTTTTTTCACACTTAGATTCTGCAAGATTTGTGCAAATAAAATTTTCATCATAATCTGAATCCGATAAACAAAGAGAAATTGATTTTGGGACAACATATTCTATAACTACTTCTTTGCAAATAAACCACGCCATCAAAACCAAGCGTAAATACTTTGAATATTTTGTTGGCTCCTTAAGAAATATGTAGTTGTTATTCAGTTGATCATCATTACATATAATATGCTTGAAGTAATCATATCTTAAACAAGCAATTGCACATAATACAACTGTTATGAGCCCACATATATCTCCACATGTTTGTAAAGGATAGTTTCTTTTGCACAAAGAACTGCACAGCTTACCTCCATACTTATGAGTAATTGGATCATGGCAATATATCATATTGAAAGTTTTATTATTGTGATATAACTTTTTAATTAATAGATCCACTTTTAACAAAAAATCTTCTGGAGCTATCCAACCTAATGAATCTCCGTAGTAAAAATTACACTCTGTATTATTATAGGCTGCAAATGACCAATGACAACCTGGATTGATACTTGTGCCAGTAAAGGTTTTCTCATTGTTTTTGCCAATATTAACAATAAAGATTAATTTTTCAGGTACAGTAGTTATGCATGAAATAAAATGTTCAATATTTCCAACAAAATTAAAGTAAATTACTAAGGAATCATTTTGAAAAGAGTTTAAAATGTTGCAAATTAGAAGCATATGATCAGATGATAGCCATCTGGAACAACAGAGTTCAGCTAACGTATTTAGTGTCATACCATAATCTGAAATTTCTCTATTTGCTGGTTTACCGAATAGTACATCTTTAAATTTATCAGTTAAATATTCGGGAGGATAAGTATTAATAGATTTTGGTAACAACTTTGAAGAATTTAACCATATTATTTCTTGTTCAACAGCTAATTTGATTTCTTGAGTTCTATGAAGGGTAATCATATGTTGTATACTTTCATAGGTAAAAATTCCTAACTTACATTCTACAAAATGGAAGCCAAATGCAATTTTTTTGCGTAGTAATAGTTCATTAGACCATTTGATTAATTGATTTTTTGGAGGAATACTGTTCAAAGAAAAAACATCAATGCTTTCATCAATTAAAAACTGATTTGTTTTGATTGAGTATTCTTCGATAACTTTTGTAAATTGTTTACGAGACTCGTAAGCATATTTCCGAGTGTAATCACTAATGGTATGCTTTGCCAGCGTAATTTTATTCTGAGATAAACTTGCAAATACCTTTAAAAAAAGAGAAAGATTTATCATCATAAGTGAATGTTATCAAAAAGGATTTTGTAAAAAAAAGTATTAAAAGGGTAAATGCAATTTTTCCAGCTAAAGAGCAAAAGATTATGAATAGAATATTTATTTAATAAGTATAATAAGTTTTAATAATAATATAATAACATTATTATAATAAAGTACTTTTTATACTAAGAATAATTATTATTTATTTGTTTTATTAAGTTATGTAAAAAAAACTCATTTAAAATAATGCCTTGGCTTTTTTGTTCATAAATTAGACATTTAATATATCTAACTTACTTAACGAAGTGCACCAACGAGAAGGTCAGCCATAGGACTTAGCACTTCATCTGATATTTATCATGTTGCCTAAAGGTAGCCTTCCATTATATATATATTTTATTTATTTATATATATATTATTTATATACACACCTCAGTATTATGGTTGGCATTTGGCAATGCCAACCTAACTGCTGACCTGAAAGTGTTTAAGGTCAGCAATTTTTTGTTAACCTTATTTCTATGAGTGTGTGTGTGTGTATATATATATATATATAAATATAAATATATATATATATATATATATATATATATATATATATATATATATATATATATGGAGGGCTACCTTTAGGCAACATGATAAATATTGTATGATTTATATTCCTCTTATACTTGGTGTACCCTTGATCCGCCCCTGGTATAAAAAGATTAACCATAGTTGTACATCAATTGTTTTATTTTGACATGAATTAATTAAAGAATTTTACCTCCTGATTATTGCAAAACAAAAGACTTTGACCAAGATTTTATGTATGGTGTAATAATTAAGGTACATCCAAATAATGTTATAAGTAAAAAAATTATTTATAACAAAACAGAAAAAATATAAATTTAAAAAGGTTTTTCATAGATTAATAAATTAATATTGGGTATGTCCATTGACTCTTCTAATTAAATATTATTTATTTATTTTTACATTAACCTTTAAAAAGATGTTTTTATGTAAACTTGAAAAACTGCTAAAGAAGTAAATTTTTTTTTATTGTAAGTGTAACGATAATAAACTTGAATTTAAATTACTTGACAGTTTAGTAAAAGTATATTTTTATACGCAATATTAAAATGTTATACCAACATTTTTTTAATAATTAATTTTATTTTTAAGTATGCCTAGAGACGTACTAAAAGTACCCTAGATCCACTCCTTATATATATATATATATATATATATATATATATATATATATATATATATATATATATATATATATATATATATATATATATATATATATATATACACACACACACACTTAATATAAATAGAATCTAAATTTAGCAAAAGACATTGAAGTGATCAGCATTCTTAATAAAAAAATGTGTTAAGAAAGAAAACTTCTCAGTCAGAAGGTTCATCTTTAGATAAACCTTCTGATAAAGAAACAAGTTGTTGAAGAAAAAAGATAGATAAGTGCTTTTACTAATTTATATACATAATTTATAATTTCTCTGTTCTTTAAGAACATTAAGCACAGATAAGATAATATTGCATTATTAGTAAGAAGAAAGACAAAGTTAGTAGAAAAATAAGTAAATAAAAGATTTTTTTTTTTATGTTTTTTATTTTTATTTTTATTCTTTATCCGTATAGTGTTGTTTTATATATGCATATTAACTTTAAGGTTTAATGCAATATTAAAATTAAATTTGAGTATATATAATTATATATATATATATATATATATATATATATATATATATATATATATATATATATATATATATATATATATACATACATATATACATATACACACATACATATACACACATATACATATATATATATATATATATATATATATATATATATATATATATATATATATATATATATATATTATATATATATATACAAACATATATATATTTTAAATTTTTAAATTTTAATTTTCGTTTGAATGTATTTTTACTTTATAGATTAAATTTAATGTATTATTTAATGTATTTAATCTATTAAATTTTTAAAAAATTCAAGTATTTTTTGATTTTTTATTAATTTTATTTTTAATGATTTTTTTATTAATTTTATTTCAGTATATATTTTTTTCTTCATAATCTTTTGCTATTGTTATATAAAACGCATGTATACACATACACTGCATGTGCATTATACACATGCATATACAAATACACACATGCATACATATGTATACATACACATACACAGAATATATATATATATAAATATATATATATAAATATATATATATATATATATATATATATATATATATATATATATATATATATATATATATATATATATATATATATATATGATGTTTGTTATTACCTTATTGCTATTAGAATTATTATTATGTGATGTTAATATTATTTGCATTTTTATTACAATCATTATTATTATTGTTTATTATTAGTCTGTGATATTTATCAATATTATTATTGCTACATCTAATATTATAAATATTATTATTATAATTTGCCTTTTTTTTAGATTTTTTATAATTTGCCTTTTATTTAAATAAATATTGTTATTTAATTTGCCTTTTATTTAGATGGTTATTGTTATCTTAGATTAGTAGATTGTTATTGTTATCTTAGATTAGTAGATTGTTATTGTTATCTTAGATTAGTAGATTGTTATTGTTATCTTAGATTAGTAGATTGTTATTGTGGTCTTAGATTAGTAGATTGTTATTGTTATCTTAGATTAGTAGATTGTTATTGTTATCTTAGATTAGTAGATTGTTATTGTTATCTAAGATTAGTAGACTGTTATTGTTATCTTAGATTAGTAGTATATTAACAATAACATATATTGTATGTTATTATTAAACATAATATATTATAGGTGTCGTTCTAATATATTATATGATATAATATACATATAATATAGAAAGACACCTATAATATATTATGTTTAATCAACAAAAATAATCAACTTTATTGCACAAAACTTATCTGTCAAATAAATCATACCATCTTTGATATTTTAAAACTTTGTGATGCTAAATAATGTTAGTAATATAAGTGATGCTAAATAAATGTTAGTAATGATAAACAGCTGTTAGTAAAGTTAGATGAGAAGAAAGCTGGCGGGAAAAATAATACATAATGTCTTGAACATGTGCGTGTTATTTCTGGTAGTCCGGCATACGAAACTTGATTCGGACTTTATCGGAATAATAAATTTTAAACCAATCAAAATCGGGAGTCATCTCGCTAGTTTTATTTGGTATTGCCTACCATTTATCCAAAAAAAGTTAAAAGACAATCGTATGATGCAAAATAATGATGCAATGGTAAAAACAAAACAAAAGAAAATGGTATGATTTAAAAATCATCATGTTTTCAAGTTTCTTTTAGTTTAAGATTTGTTAATTTATTTATATATTACTTGTAAATTTTATAATATGGTTGATAAACAATGAAGAGATAAAAGATTTTTATTTTTTAGGACTGTATTTCATTTTTGTAATTTTGACCAAAAATTTTTTATGTAAGTTATTTAGTTGAAATCTTAAGCAGAGAGCTGTGATGAAGTATTTTGTCTGAATTTAATTTTGTTGGTAGTCTAGGATATGAAAATATATGTGAAAACAATATCTAATTGAATCCAATTATTTTCATTTCTATCACTGCTTATAAGATAAATGTTGAATTACACTTGAACTGAGCTCTCTTGTAATCATCTTATGCTTTCAACAAATTAATAGTTATTTCACTCATAACTAATGAACTCAGTTCATCAATAACTAAAAAAACTTAGCCTTTTTTATTTATTGTCCAAATTTTTCACCAGAAAAAATATGTTTTGAAGCGTCAGTTATGATATATAAAGCATAAAAACTGTTTCAACTTTAGATTAATTTTTGAGTTTTTTTTTTGTAACAGTGCTTTATTGGCATTAAGCTAGAAAGTTAATGTCATCTCAAAACTTATACACCTGCTTAGGATTAAGTCTTTTGAAGATATTTTCAAATATGAAAGAGAAATAATAATGTCGAGGCTTTCATCAATTATTGTCAATTCAACAACTTTTCTCCTTCATAAATATTTGTAATGTTTTGCAACTAAATTAACAGGTTTCTGCAATTTATTTAAATCCCATAACAAAGTTAAAAAGGTATTTTTAGTAGTGACAAATTTTTCAAAATTACAGTAATGAAATTCTTGGTAGCCTAGTTCTGTTTTAGCTTACTTTTTGCTATCTTTCAATAGTGATATCCAAATTTAATTGTTATCATATTTGTGAATGTTTTTATATTAAATATTATTAGCAACTGAAAATTTTTTATTTTAAATTTATAATTTAAGTGATTAGTTTATTATTAACTAATAAGTTTTTATTTTACTTCTGGCTTATTGTATCTTTAGTTATATAAATAAGATCTTGTCCATTTCACTTATAATCAACTACCCCATTGTGTTTTTAGCTTTTAGAGGTTTTAGTTTAAAGGTTTTAGTTTAGTTTAGTTTTTAGTTTAGAGGGCATTTTTAATAATACATTTGATTTATTTGTAATGCTAATATATTTTTGTCGCTTTCATTTTAAGAGTATTCTTTGGAATATATATATATATATATTTTTTACTGGTTGGTATTGATGGGCGATTTTTTAAGTTATATAATGGTTTATGTTTAATAAAAATCTTTGTGGATGAACCCAATGATCTTCTACTTTTAATTATTATATAAATTCTGCCTGAAGTCTTGTGAACGAACCCTTATACCATTATGTAATAAATTGTGATATAAAAAAATATGTTTTAAAAATAGAACAATAAAAAAAGTTTTTAAAATAGTAAACACGAGCTCATATATTTCATATTTCACATTTATTATGAGTTCAATATTCTAATTAATACTAATTTTCTCTATACATAAATTACATAGTGAAATAAAGTTACAATTTCTAATTCTGAGCTTAACCTACAATGTTGCTTAATTACAAAAGAATATTGATCGCAAGCAATTGCACGCTATAGTGGCTATCAAGAATACAAAATTATTTTTTTCTAACATTTGTCATAAAATGTTAATATGACTATTGTTCATTCAAAAATTTAAATTTGCTTTTAGGTTTTACATTCAAGCAAGTAGCAAATTTAGTTTTCTTGTTTTATAAATTTCTAATACCAGTTTGTTGTAATAAAAAAGACATTATTGTTATTAAACAAACTTAATACAAATAAAAGCAAGCAGTTAAGTAAAGAATTTTATTTTCTTTTTTAAATTTCTTATTTCCTCAAATAAATTTCCAGTAAAAATTTAAAATAATCATAAATCCTTTTTTGTATTTAATTTATTATTAAGAGGTGGTCTTTAATTAAGAAATGATAGTAGAGAAAAAAGATCAAAGTGAATACCTAATTCAGTTGGAAAAAAAAACAGTAACTAAAAGACTAACTGTAATATCTCAAATTGATCAATATTTTGAAAGTGTCTGAGGTAAACAACTTCTCAATATTTTTGTTGACGAAGCACATCTATTACTTGAAGTAGAGTTTGCAGTAAGACTTTATAAGTTATTTTACAGTAAGACTTTATAAGTTATTTATCTTTTTGGCCAAGAAGGGTGAAACTTGTAAAGAAATAGCATTTGCAGATGTTAAGCCAAACAAATTTGTTATTTTTTTAGATTGTAGTTTATTTCTTGCAAATAATTTTATATATTTGCTGTTGTTGGAACACTGCAAAGAATTGCAAAATGCAAATTTTGAGAAATGATTTTTAGAAGCAAGTTGCTGAAAAAATACGTAAAATCATTTGGAAAATCCCAATTCTCAGATTTAAGAAGTTTATTCTAAGTGACATTTTTGCAGTTCCAGTTGCGTGGTGGCTGTAAAAGGCCTATGCAGGATTTTATTAAAAAAGACTATATATGTGTGATTTTACCATATATGATGAATGTAAAGGCCCTTTAAATACTTGTTAGGTAAAAAATGACATCTATCTGTCATTTTGTCTGACCCATATTTTGTTGACACCATTTTTGTTTCAAAATTAGTAATAAATCTAAGTAGTGTATATAAATTTCATTTTTTTAATTTTTAATTTTTTATACAAACCAATAAATGAATCCACATTAATAAAATACTTCATTTTTTTAAGCTAATTCATTCTACAAGACGCCTAAGAATTAAATTGTTTTTGAAGTTAGCAGCCTGTTTTTTATCATTTATATTGAAACGTTGCAAATAGTTATTAACTTAAATTTATATTTCAGTTTTATTTTTTGTCTGATGGTTTTTAATAAATTTCAAATGAATATTTTAGCTTTTAAAACCCCTTTAAAATCTATTTTATAAAAAAATTTAATTTTAATAGTTTTTTTTAATGCTTATAAAAACCATTAATTTTTTAAGTCAAAGTTATTTGCTATTAAAAGTGTTTATAATCATAGAAAATGTAATCATAGAAAAAGTTTAAAAAGATTTATCAAAAAATACATTATATATTATTTATAATATTATGCGTAATTACTTTTATATAAATATGTTAAATTTATATAAAATTGATTAAGTATAATATTTTTTGATAATTTAATTAAAATGGGTTTGTTGTAAACAATCATTAAAATTACTTTGTTACTTTTTTTAATGAAGCAATGAGTAAAAAATTATATATTTTATATAGTCATAATAATTTACAAAGCATTTCGTATAATATAGCATTTTTTTTATAAACGTATATAAATATATTTTCCTTTTCCAATATTAGTTTTTTGAGCTTAGATTTCTTCTTCTTTATGATTTTTTTTTTTATGTGAATTATCTTTCAAATTTTCTTTTTTTTTCAGCACATTTTTGAAACTCCTTAAGTTTGCAAAACAAACTTCCGTGGTCAAGTTTAAAAAACAAAATATTTTAAGCGTGGTCAGTAATGAGGTTTAATCGTAGTCTTAAAAATAAATGTTTCTTGTGACTATACAACTTGTGTGTATCGTCAATACACACCATTAAGTTGAAGTTATAATAAAAACCAACAAGTTAACTGGTAACACATGGTAACTCTGCGCTGCACAGTGACTCAAAACAACAACAAAAAATGGCAACAAACTCTGTAACACTTTTTTTTATAAATTAAGTGCCCTTTGTTATATGATATTAAATGACAATGATTTTTTATTATAAAAGTAAAAGTAAGTTTTTCATAAAGCTTTTATTTTGTATTTCATAGGTAAAAGAAGCGAAAAAATTTGATATTATTTTTAAAGAAAAATGTGAGTTTTTATTTAACTAAATTAGAGAATTTGAAATTTAAATAAAAGTGTATATTTATTTTTAAAATAATTTTTTGACTCTTTATTTCAAATATACTAAAATAAAAAAAAAAAGGTTGATTTTTTTTGTTCAAATTTAAAGCCTTCTCTAAAAAAATAGGGGAGAATAATTGTATTTTTTTGTTTGTTTATATATCAGCTAAAAAAATGTTTCACCGAGTTCTACAAATATATATTTTCCATTTAATTATCATTTCTACTTTAGAAATATAAAAAAATTACTGCAGTCTCCTGCGGTAAAAGCAAATGTTGATGATTTCATCAAAACCTTATTTTCCGCCATTTTTATATATATATATATATATATATATATATATATATATATATATATATATATATATATATATATATATATATATATATAATATATATATATATATATATATATATATATATATATATATATATATATATATATATATATATATATATATATATATATATATATGTAAATATTTATATATATATAAATATACTATATATATATATATATATATATATATATATATATATATATATATATATATATATATATATATATATATATATTATCATATATATATATATATATATATATATTATCATATATAAACAAATGAAATTGCGGGAAACTTAAATTTAAGTTTTTTGCTTGTAGAACTTGTTTTAATATAGTTTTTAAATATTAAATATAGTTTTAAAAAATGTGCTTTTGTCATTATATACTTTTTAGGAGTTTGTTAAAATATTTATTGACAATTTTAAAGAACGATTTATTATTCTATAAGTACAGCATGTTTGAAAAAGCTCAAATGAACAACTTTAGTGTTTTCTGTAATATAAAGTTAACTAAGTAATATGTGTTATTACAGG